AACTACTGGATCAGCCATTTCTGTGTAATGTACTGGAAACTGAGTCTCCCTGCACCAAATAAATATCTACTGGATCAGCCATTTCTGTGTAATGTACTGGAAACTGAGTCTCCCTGCACCAAATAAATAACTACTGGATCAGCCATTTCTGTGTAATGTACTGGAAACTGAGTCTCCCTGCACCAAATAAATAACTACTGGATCAGCCATTTCTGTGTAATGTACTGGAAACTGAGTCTCCCTGCACCAAATAAATAACTACTGGATCAGCCATTTCTGTGTAATGTACTGGAAACTCGGATCAGGCACTCGGACTGGTTGATGCTCAGGATGTAAGTCATTGGATGTTAGGTCCAGATTCGAATATTTACAGATCACGTTCATATAGCTGAAATATTGCTGCGTACCGTGTGAAGAACCAATGAATGTGCATGTAGAATATGGACCACCTCTTTGCAACTGCAAGTCATTCAGTGTGATACATTGTACTGATGGAAGTCTGTACAGCAGTTGCATGTTGGCCGGGAGTCTGTCACCAACATCGCCAACGACCAACAAGCTGTAATCTATCGTAATGAGAAGCTACCCCTTCAGGAAATAGGAAATTTTAAGAAACACATTTAATACACTCGCAGGAAATTGGAAATGCTTTTTCATTCAAAACAAGAAACCTCATCTGACTTTGCTAACCAACTAAACCTGAGAGGGTATTCTTCATCCCCCGTGCCAGCTGTGATTTTACTGAGCTGCATCATGCAATCTGCACATACATCCCCAGATACGTAGGGCTTTGTTTGACGCTCTGTCAATTGGTTGCATTGTTCTGTAGACTAATAACACTGCTTGGTAGAGACTGGGCCTAGGGCAGCCTGAGGTACGTTATGATGTCTCACATTTCTAGAGTTAATGCTGATTGAGTAGCTTGGGGAAGTGATTGTATGGGAGCTTCATTCCATATTGGTCTGTTACATCTGCCATACACTGAAATAATTGGCACCAAGATTTAACGTGGTCAGAAGCCAGCTAGATGTTCCATCACTATTAGACACATACTTTAAGTCCCGACTGGTAAAGTGAGGCTATCAATCTTATTCAGTAATGGTTAAGTCATTTTACTCACTCACTCACTCACTAAGGAAATTTGAATAAGATAATACTTTATTTTTCAGTGTTAAATTTTGGTTACTTCATGACTGAACATTAAACATAATACAAATATATGAACAAAGTTAGGTGTGTACAGCTTTGAACAGCACTTAGAAGGTAACTGAAATCATGGTGTAAAAGTAGGTAACAGAAGTGGTCCAAAACGCAGAACTGCTTAAGAAAATATATAATATAAAAATACACACTTATTTGACATTTAATGCTGGGAAAGTAGATGATGGGAAGTGTACTATGTAAATTAATGCACTAAAAATAGCTTAGTAAATACACAAATCCATGTATACTGTTACCCTGTAATTGTTAGCATCCCCTATGAATGATTCCCCAGTCACATTATAACTGTTGCTGTAAGCTGAGGCCCCCATGTTTGCAGGAGCATGCCCCAGCCCCGAAGACTAGCCCCTACCCCAAGCTGCACAGTAAGCGAAGGAAGTCCCTGGAGAACGCTCCAACTTTGCCTGACTATGCTGAAGCCAAGGAGGTCCTGAGACAGATCCAGAAGGACCGGTCAGTCCTACAGGCCAACCTGGACCAAGTGATGCGGTCTCGATGTGACACCAAGGCATACAGCGTTCTAGAGACTCTATCACAGGACAGGTGAGTCAGCCTACAATGTCCTACAGACTATCACAGTACAAGTAAGACAGCTGACATTGTCCTAGAGAGACAATCACAGGACAGGTAAGTCAGCCTACAATGTCCTACAGACTATCACAGTACAGGTAAGACAGCTGACATTGTCCTAGAGAGACAATCACACGACAGGTGAGTCAGCCTACAATGTCCTACAGACTATCACAGTACAGGTAAGACAGCTGACATTGTCCTAGAGAGACAATCACAGCGACAGGTGAGTCAGCCTACAATGTCCTACAGACTATCACAGTACAGGTAAGACAGCTGACATTGTCCTAGAGAGACAATCACAGGACAGGTGAGTCAGCCTACAATGTCCTAGACAGACTATCACAGTACAGGTGAGACAGCTGACATTGTCCTAGAGAGACAATCACAGGACAGGTGAGTCAGCCTACAATGTCCTACAGACTATCACAGTACAGGTAAGACAGCTGATATTGTCCTAGAGAGACAATCACAGGACAGGTGAGTCAGCCTACACTGTCCTACAGATTATCACAGTACAGGTAAGACAGCTGACATTGTCCTAGAGAGACAATCACAGGACAGGTGAGTCAGCCTACAATGTCCTACAGACTATCATAGTACAGGTAAGACAGCTGACATTGTCCTAGAGAGACAATCACAGGACAGGTGAGTCAGCCTACAATGTCCTACAGACTATCACAGTACAGGTAAGACAGCTGACATTGTCCTAGAGACACTCACAGGACAGGTGAGTCAGCCTACAATGTCCTACAGACTATCACACAGGTAAGACAGCTGACATTGTCCTAGAGAGACAATCACAGGACAGGTGAGTCAATGTCCTACAGACTATCACAGTACAGGTAAGACAGCTGATATTGTCCTAGAGAGACAATCACAGGACAGGTGAGTCAGCCTACAATGTCCTACAGACTATCACAGTACAGGTAAGACAGCTGACATTGTCCTAGAGAGACAATCACAGGACAGGTGAGTCAGCCTACAATGTCCTACAGACTATCACAGGACAGGTAAGACAGTTGACATTGTCCTTAGTGAGAGAGACGATCACAGGACATGTGAGTAAGCTTACACCTTCCTAGAAAGACAATCTTAGGACAGGTGAGTCAGCCTACATTGTCTTGGATACGTAGTCACAGGACAGGTGAGTCAGCCTACAGCATCCAAGAGACACAGTCATAGGACAGGTGAGTAAGCCTACACCTTCCTAGAGACACAATCTTAGGACAGGTGAATCGGCCTACAGTGTCCTAGAGACTGTAACAGGACAGGTGAGTCAGCCTACATGGTTTTGGATGCAAATTCACAGGACAGTTGAGTCAGCCTACACATTGGACATTCTACATTCTCAAGCATCGAGGTTTCAATGGAAACAACTCAATACTATATCCTACTTTTCAGAGACATTTTTCCAATGATCATGTTTAATTAATGAGTTACCTGATTATCTTTCAACTCATACCTGACCATGAGACTAACAATGTGTTGCAGCACGGTGGTGGAGCGTGCACGCATCATGCACGTCGTGGACGGTTGTATTTCTTCTCTACAAAAAGAGATCGATGTGAGTAAACCTCCATAGAAATATATCTCTGGGCCACTATGACGTAGTGATGCTTCATCCAATATCACATTCATTAAGTTGCTCCTAACATGTTATGATAATTCTAAAAATATTTATAATTTCTCTATTCAAGCACAGGTATTTTTGTTTTTAGTCTTAACATTTTTCTATATTCTGGTATTATATTTTTAGTAAAAATCCTGTATTCTTTGAGCATTGTGATCATTAAGACAGATTCTTATTTTATGTGAAACCTCCAGCCTCAATTATTAACCCAACTAACAGCTGTGAATTACTCAGGTGTTAAAGACTGCCACATTACACTTGACAGAGAGAAGTTGAGCTGGAGCTAATCAACATGGAGACCAAGAAGAACGCAATGTCTGCTAAAGTAGGTGGGAAATCCCAGCCAATCAGGACCAGTGCCAGAGGTCAAGGTCAAGCTAGAGTTGACACCGGCATCAGGAAGGCTCAGATTGGGATGACAGAGAAGCAGAAGATAGGATCTCTAAGCAAGGTAATACGTTCTATAATTTCATGTTACTTTATAGCTCACCAGGAACTACAAGCACGTGCTTATGGACCGGGCATGACATTGTTTGTGATCCTACATTTTCAAATCAGCTCTTCATGTTATTAACTAGACTCTTATCGCTGTCATCCATTACTTATCATAAGTTGTTCTAGCAGATAGAGTGGTCAACATGCCCCCAAACAAATGGCGAGACCAATCAGTGGTCCATTTAATAATGATGTTCTCATTTTTCTGTGTATCACTTTAACTAGTAAAACATTATCAACATTTGAACGAGATCTCTGATCTCAAATGTTATGACAAACGCCTTAGTCAATTTTCTGAGTTGGATATGGTACATCATGTAAATTTTATTTGTTACCATGCACTCCAGACAGCTAAAGGGACAGATTACCTGACCAAGATCTATGGAAAAGCTCCAATCCAGAAGACCAGAACAACAGTGAAAGAATCTCATCACTACCAGAGCAGCACCAAGTCTCGCCGTGCTACTGCGTCTGTCAAAGGTATCACTCTAACACCCTCGGGCAACTCTGCCAGCAGATTTGGGGGGATGTGATGCAAGAAGTAGCCAGAGTTTTCGAACCCCCTGAACCTCCCCTTGGCTCCGCCAATGCAAAATAATGGAGGATATGATGCAAGAAGTAGCCAAAACTCACCGCAAAAAGTTCAGTAGCAGTGTGTCAAAAGTCCAGTTTATATGACTTTGTCAAAAGCTTTGAAGTTAGAGATAGTTTTGAAAATGGAACAGCCATTGTGCTTAATTTATATCTTTTGGGTTGATATAAAGGGATAGCAGGGGTAAGTTGAATCAAGTTTCATAAGTTTCATTTGCTGGTCTCTTCTACTGATTCCAGGGGCGGTGGGTTAGCCTGCTGTTAGTCTGCTCGTCACACCGAAGACCCAGGTTTGATTCCCCACATGGGTACAATGTGTGAAGCCCATTTCTGGTGTTCCATGCCGTGATGATGCTGGAATATTGCTGAGATCGGCGTAAAAAACCATACTTACTCTATTTATTAAAAAACTAAAGACAGACATCATGCTTGTTGGAAGAGTTGATAATGCTGGTTCTGTTTGCAGGTACAGATGTGAAATCTTCCAAGACCCAAACAAAATCAGTGTCCAAGTCATCCATCCATCCACAGGCTGGTGCTGTTTCTGCTCCAAGACAGTATTACTTCAGCCCTGACACTGGATACATACCCTGGCTGTCGGTGATGCATGTAAGTAATACTTGTGCCCTGACACTGGATACATACCCCTGGCTGTCGGTGATGCATGTAAGTAATACTTGTGCCCTGACACTGGATACATACCCCTGGCTGTCGGTGATGCATGTAAGTAATACTTGTGCCCTGACACTGGATACATACCCTGGCTGTCGGTGATGCATGTAAGTAATACTTGTGCCCTGACACTGGATACATACCCCTGGCTGTCGGTGATGCATGTAAGTAATACTTGTGCCCTGACACTGGATACATACCCCTGGCTGTCGGTGATGCATGTAAGTAATACTTGTGCCCTGACACTGGATACATACCCCTGGCTGTCGGTGATGCATGTAAGTAATACTTGTGCCCTGACACTGGATACATACCCCTGGCTGTCGGTGATGCATGTAAGTAATACTTGTGCCCTGACACTGGATACATACCCTGGCTGTCGGTGATGCATGGGGCATTACTATGTGCCCTGACACTGGATACATACCCCTGGCTGTCGGTGATGCATGGGCAATACTTGTGCCCTGACACTGGATACATACCCCTGGCTGTCGGTGATGCATGTAAGTAATACTTGTGCCCTGACACTGGATACATACCCCTGGCTGTCGGTGATGCATGTAAGTAATACTTGTGCCCTGACACTGGATACATACCCTGGCTGTCGGTGATGCATGTAAGTAATACTTGTGCCCTGACACTGGATACATACCCCTGGCTGTCGGTGATGCATGTAAGTAATACTTGTGCCCTGACACTGGATACATACCCCTGGCTGTCGGTGATGCATGTAAGTAATACTTGTGCCCTGACACTGGATACATACCATTATTACAAAAATGGTGGATACTTATGTATGAAAACAGGTAAGAGACAAATCAATTCTGCATTTGGTGGCATAGAGCTCATGTCACAAATTAGTTGAAGTTAAGCAACGTTGAGTTCGGAGAGTCTTTGGATTGGTGACCGTGCTTGGCAGCTTGACTCCTGAGAGTTTTTAGGACTTCGGTCCTGCCCCACAACGAAACACATGTGATACATGTGGTCTCACCTTAGGCAAGTGAGTTTGTTCAAATTGCCTCAGTTCACCCAGCAGAAAATGGGTACCCAATGGGATAAGTCACCGGTGTGGAGTATTGAGCGGTATAAGTTCCCTCATTATTGTTGTTATTATTTCTGCGGTTTCATGAATCAAAGTTGAAGGAAAACATTTGTGAGCAAATATCTGTGTAAATTTTAACTTAAGCAATACAAAAAATAAAGAAACTTGTTGCATATTGTAATTCCTAGTCTACAGGAACACAGGCAATATTGCTGTTTAAAAAGTGTACAGCAGTCTGCAATACAAAATAAAGAAACCTATTGTAATTCCCAGTCTACAGGAACACAGGCAATATTGCTGTTTCAAAAGCGTTTATTACAACATGTGGTATACAGTTACTACAAGGCAGTCCTACACAGAATACTGATCCATCAGTAGTCAAATAAAACCATTCCTTCATCTTCCTCAGCTCTGGTTCCTGGTCAACTGGTTCCAATGGCCATACCGCTACAGAAACCCAGGCTCGAACCCGGACTGAGAATGCCACAACCTGGACCTTCTTCAGCCTCGACCTTTGTGCCGCCTCCTGTGAAACCACTGGTAACTGCAGGCACTAATGTCGCTATGGTGACCATCCCCACAGAGGAAGTTGAACCTGAGAGGTCCCCAGAACTAAGCAAGCAGGTAAGTCAGTGTGTAAGTGAGATTAGAGTGAATGGGTACATGTACCAAAGCCTGTCATGATCCGGGTTAGAATTGGTCTTCAATAACCCATGCTTGTAAGGGGCAACTAATGGGATCAGGTGGTCAGACTCACTGACTTGGTTGATGTCGTTGTATCCCAGTTGCATAGATCGATGTTCATGCTGTTGATCACTGGATTGTCTGGTCCAGACTTGATTATTTACAGACCGCCGCCATATAGCTGAAATATTGCCTGAGTGCGGTTTTAAACAACAAACAAACAAATAAAAGATGTACAACTGTAGGTAAACTTTAATTTACTGCATGGGTCACCATGAGTATGTTTAAAGGTTTGCCAGCACCTTCCTCATCCTGGAGGGTGTAACCACAGTGGTAAATGTATGAGACCTACATCACTTCTTGTGAAGGCGGTGGGTTAGCCTAGTGGTTGAAGCGTTCACTTGTCACGCTGAAAACCAAGGTCTCATTCCCCACATGGGTAGAATGTGTGAAGCCCATTTCTGGTGTCCCCCCACCGTGATATTGCTGGAATATTGCTAAAAGCGGTGCAAAACCATTCTCACTCACTCTCACTCACTCACATCACTTCTTGTTTTTTTCCCACATTAGGTTTGCACACCATGTAGCAAGAGAACTGTTCAAAGCACCATTAAACGTTTTTGTGTTTTCAGGTGCTTCCTCCTGTTGACATTGACAGCATGTCGGAGACGTCTGCTCAACGCGAAGTGTATATTCAGTCTCCTCAGTCGCCCAGGAGATCCCAGTTTGACACTTCATATCACTACCGACAACAGAGGGTATGTAGCTAAGTCCCCAATGCAACGTTATTTTTCATCTCATATCACTACTCACGCTGAAGACCTGGGTTCGATTCCTTACATGGGTACAATGTGTGAAGCCCATTTCTGGTGTCCCCAGCTGTGATGTTGCTGGAATATTGCTAAAAGCAGTGTAAAACCAAACTCAGTCAGTGAGTCATATCACTACTAACATATGCGGGAATGTAGCTAGGTCCCCAATGCAACCCCTTTTTGAACCTCATATTGCAACATGCAACAGAAGCGAACCTTATGCCTTTCAACCTTAGGGTATGGCTTGATGTCTTCCTTCAAAGTTAGCTGTTTGATGCTATCAGGTATTGCCTATCTTATGCTAATCCATGTGGTGCTGATTCCCAGAGTGAAGACGAGGAGGATGAAGAGGAGGAGGAGGAAGATTTCGACCAGTCTGGGGTCGGTATAGCTCTACCAGGACACCAGCCTCCACCTGAGCCGGAGCCATATGGGCCAGAGTTCCCTCCCCCTGTGGCCAGACTACCCCAGTCCATGAAGCTGGAGTCTCAGATCACCTCCGACATGCTGGCGGAGGACCTGAGACAGAGAGACTTGATGCAGAACAAGGCCGTGCAGTGGTGAGTCTTGTCTCAAACAAGGGCAAACATGTTCAGAGTAATAAAGAAATGTCAATATGTGTGAGATTGGATTTTAAATCACCATCGGCAACCTACGCTGACGTAATGTATCTGGTCAGATCATTGCTTGTAATATCAATCACTGGATTGCCTGGTCCAGACTGAATTATTTACATGCCACCGCCATATTTCAGGAGTTTGAGGTTGAGCAGTAATACATACACATATAAAAAATGTTTTAATAAAATAATGAATTTTTCCAAAATACCATGAGAAATTGAGGATAGTGTATATTTCCCCCTCTGTTGTCTGCTGACACAATATGTGTTTCTTGTTAACAGGATTGAGCAGGAGTTGATGGCGAGAGTTCTTACGGAAGTATATCCACTGCGACCTGCCGACCCCATCCCTCATGAACCAGCGCCATCTGTCCACACCGATGAGAGTGTGGATGACGAGTCTTTACTGGGTGGGTCACTGTCCATTTTCTTTCAAAAAATATATTTCTGGTAAAGGATGTCACAGTGGCCTTAGCACTGCAGTGAACACCCTAAATATTTAGTTGTGTCACTTTTGTTAGGTCCAGGAGCAGTTGTGTGATGTGTGTCCCAATAGATTATGTATTATTTTATTATATTATATATCATAATATTATCATACAGAGTAAAAATGCCTGAATGTATTCTTCATTCAATAAAAATAGGAAATCAGAAACTGATACTGTACAGTTATAGGTTTTATGTGAGATCAATACCTTGAAGTCTAACTTTGATGTTGCTTTCTTCTTAAGAACATGTTGGGACCTTATAAACAGTCTTTGTGTTATTATGTAATCAAAGGTGAGGTGAGGTGAAATTGGGTTTTACATCGCGCTTGAGAATATTTCGCTCATATGACGAGGTGCATGCGTGTGTATGTGTATGTGCGGCTGCTTGTACTAGCACAGACTGAAGCTGGTTTTATAGTGGTAGCCCACTGAGATACCATGCCGCAGTGAAGCATGAATACCCCACTCAGACACATTATACTGACTCCGACCCGACCAGTCCTTGTTGTACCCATTAATTCCGAGCGCCAGGCAGGGACCAACAAGTACCATATTTTAACGTCTTTTGGTATGACGCGGTCGGGGATTGAACCCGCGACCTTCCGCTCTCCGGGCGGACGCTCTAACCACTACACCACGGAGGCGGTTATGTAATCCAAAGACTAAAGCAGATTGATGTATCAAACTGTGATGAGGTTCCAGCAAACAGAATCATCAGATCGGCTTAGGTTTGGGGATACTATTTCTGGTTTATTTCTGTTCTGTTTTTAGCAACTCATGTCAGCACCATGAATTATCATTGTCACCATTACTTGCTGTTGATTGATGTAGCTGGTTCTTGGCCATTGAATATGGAAAAAAATTTGCTTTATATAATACAACCAAAAACATATCAAGATGTCACTATAGAATGGGCGGATGGAATGATTAATTTGAAATAATTATTCCTCCCCATTAGTCTGTCTCCCAGTCTCAAGAGAATAAATTTATCAGGAAGTCCAAATCAAGTCTGGAATGATTCAGCAAGTCCAGATTGCGTCTGCTCAAGGCCTGAAATGAAATTCTTCTGGACTTCTTTTGGATTACATTTCTTTGGATATGTTCAAATAAGATGACTTTATTTGTGAGACTAAATGTCTGTCTACCTCCCCAGTGATGGACACCATCGGTCAGACTGGCCTGAAGCTGTTTGTGGATGCTGGTCAGCCGGTAGACAACCATCTGGTCAATGCCCTGGTACGTGAGGTCCTCTCCGAGCAGCTGACCGTCATGCTGGGACAGCGCAGTCAAGAAGATGGACTGACGGCGAGGGACGGTGAAAGAAGGAGGCAGGACGGTGCGGAGGAAGACATGGCACGTGTAGAGGATGAAGAAGATTACAGTCAGCAGGTACAACAAATAAAGTTACTCTTATCTCAAAGGTCCATATTTTCGAAAATGTTTTCCACAGGATTAAGAAAACTAATCCAGTGAATGATATTATGAGCAGTGAACACCTATAGGGAACAATGACATGCAGTCAACTAAATTGAAAATCCTAACAACCACAACAAAATTGTTTGCAGGGGATCAGCTATTATGCCACTGTCCCCACAGTGTGAAATCTGTACCCTGTTGACTGTCTGTGAAAGTTGGGGACTGAGGGCATCAAGTGTAATTACATCAGTATGGCACTAACACAAGTCTTAGATTCTCTTTTCCTCTGGGAATTCCAGGTTAGAATGAACAAGGACTGGTCGGCTCGGAGTCAGTATAATATGTCTGAGTGGGGTATTCATGCTTCACTGCGGCATGGTATCTCAGTGGGCTAGCACTATAAAACCAGCTTAAGTCATGGCTAGTACAAGCAGCCGCACATACACATACACACACATGCAGGTCGTCATATGAATAAATATTCTCAATTAACACGTTAAACCCAATTTCACCTCACCTCACCTCACCTCCAGGTTAGAATGCTTCTTGGTAGAGGTGACCAAAAGGATTAGGTGGTCAGACTATGTGACTTGGTTGATTGAATGTCATTGTTCCAAGTGAATTCAAGCGAAATCCTTTTGAAATCAACTGGATTAAGTTTTTAGTTTAATAAAGGTATGGAGTACTATTCCTTGTCAAGATGGTACAGAATGTTCAGTTTCCAGTCTAATGAGGTTTCACTGTAGTTGGATCATCATATCCTACTCACTGGTTGGTTAGTGAGTGAGTGAGTTTAGTGTTACGCTGCTTTTAGCAATATTCCAGCTATATCACTGACACCAGAAATGAGCTTCACACATTGTACCCATATTGGGGAATCGAACCACGGGTCTTTGCCGTCTTCACACCAGTTAGTGGAGTAGCCAAGTGGTTAAAGTGTTTACTCACCATAAGACCTAAGGCCCCGGTTTGATTCCTCACAAGAGACAATGTGTGGTCCCATTTCTGGTATCCCCTGCCATGATATTGCTGCAAACTGCTGAAAGATGGACAATGTTATACTCACTCTCCGGCTCACCCTTACAATCTTCAAAACATTAGATGTTCACTACTGTATAGCTTTTCTTTACCTGATCCTGACAATTAGTTCCAGGAATCACCTCGTCAAGGTCGTATTAGAACACCACAGCCTACTCCAAAGACAAGCCCTGTGATGTCGCCAATGAGAGTTATCTCCCCTCCTGTAACGCCAACTGGCTCTCCAGTAGATGATACAAGAATGTTCCGTGAGAGTGAGCGACGACATTTTGTGTCTCCACCACCACCACCACCTCAAGTGATACCTGTCACGCCAGTGGTACCGCTTACAGAGCCCGAATCTGAACCAGAAACTTCAGTATCGCTAGACATCAGTGAAGAGCTGCGTCAACTGAGAGGTAATACCTTATATAAATATATATATTTCAATTTCTCTCATATTTTTTTCATTTAACTGGTTTTTTCCACTATTTCAGGAAAAACTGTAAATAATTAACTCTGGACCAGATAAACCATTGATTGATAGGGGCATCATCTGACCAGGATACCATCACATGTAATCATCATGTCACTGAGTGTTACTTCATGATTAGTGGTCAAACACAGGTGACAGGGGGGGGAATTCTTTAATGTCTTCAGAAGGGTTCCTCTTTATATTTAATCCACTGGGATTGCATATTACAGTAGGGTGGTAGGGTAGTTAAAGTGTTTGCTTGTCACGTCAAAGACCGAGGTTCAATTCCTGCATGGTCACAATGTGTAAAGCCCATTTTTGGTATCAACCACTGTGACATTGCTTGAATATTGCGAAAAGTGGTGTAAAACCAAACTCACTCACTCACTCACTCTCATGTCAGAGAATGTCCCCCATCACTTTGTGCATAAAAGATTATGGATGTGACAATGATGACCTGGCTGATATTGTGTTATTAGACGGCTTTGGCTATCAACCGCTTGTTTGTCTGACCCAAAGTTGATCATAGCTGTGTCAACATGAAACATTTACTCATTCAAGTACTCACTATAACTGATGGTTTTGAATAACTGACCACAGAATAAAGCAAAGGGCAAATGTGTTTTACAACACAGAAATATATTAATTTCACATCCTTTATCTCTCATATGTTCTTTTCAGCCATCAGGGAGTCAGAAGATGCAAGTTTCTTTCCAGACTCAAGGCATGATGTGGCCACGCCCATCACTACCCCTCCCCCAGAACTACCCCATGACGAGCCAGTCTCACCTCCCCCACCTTCCCCACCACCTCCACCACAGATGGTAACTGTAGCAACCTCACCACCACCTCAAGCCCAGGTCCAACCAACACCTGAGGTACCGGCAGAGGTGACCCCGCCCCTCCCAGAAGAAACTCCAGACCATGGCCCACCCTCCACCCAGGCTGACCAGAACAAGCCCATGTAAGTAGCTACTTTGTTTACTGTGGTGCAATAAAGCTAGTCCATGTCATCATTGGCTGGAAGCAGTGTTAGAAGAACTGTTTTACAAGGATAAGATGTTAACAGACTAGCACATGAAGTCATCAAAGATTTCCTACTATAACTTGGAGATTATCGGGAATAACAGCATCTCTTATTCTAAGGGGCAGCCTAGTGGTTAAAGCGTCCGCTCGTCATGCCGAAGACCTGGGTTCGATTCCCCATATGGGTACAATGTGTGAAGCCCATTTCTGGTGACCCCCCACTGTGATATTGCTGGAATATTGCTAAAAGCGGCGTAAAACCATACTCACTCACTCACTCTTATTTTAAAATCTTAACCTGTGAAGATGCGGGTTAGAATTGATCTTCAGTAACCCATGCTTGTCATAAAAGGCGACTAACAGGATCGGGTGGTCAGGCTTGCTGGCTTGGTTGACACATGTCATCGTATCCCAATTGCATAGATTGATGCTCATGCTATTGATCACTGGATTGTCTGGTCCATACTCGATTATTTACAGACCGCTGCCATATAGCTGCAATATTGCTGAGTGCAGCATAAAACTAAACTCACTCACACATTACTTCAGAGAATCGTAAAGCTTGGTGCATTTTTTGTCATCCTTCACTCTGTCCCTCTTTCTGACACTTACGTAAGTCCCAAAACATTTCAAGTAAATTTATGTGTAACAGGTGTTTTAATCGTAGTATTTTTGTCATTTTAATGTATGGCTAATTCTCGGTATAAACGCCAATGGCTGAAGGGATGGTGTAAATCCAGCTAGGGTCCATGCAGGTAGCAAAGGTACTGTAAGTCCCCATGGTCCCTAGTATGGTGATCTACCTTCAGTTGTTGGCGATCTATAGCCCAATTTTACATTGTATTGTCCAGAAATAATTTTCTACTTTTAAAGATATATGTTAGCTAGTTTTAACTCAATCTGTGATAATCTAGTGGTTTTACTGTCCTTCGTTGACAGGGTTTTATATATTATATGTATGTATTACAAATTTAGAACTAGTTTTAGTCACAATATGGCTGAAATACTGACGATGTGACTCTAAATCTTAACTCACTCACTCACTCACTTTCTGACACTTTGACAGGACAAAGAATTGATGTAATGATATGAAATGGTTACCCCAACCTCCAACACCAGTTGAAAAAGGAGAAACAATTAGTTTATTCTTCTTCTACTTTCTGATGTACTTCTTAAGACAATATCTATAGCTCTGGAAGGTATGTATTATGATCCTGTCAATTCCAGGGAGACAACTTGGCGGAGATCCCTGAAGACCCAGCAGAACGTCTGTTACGTTCACTCAGCGACAGAGACCTCTCTTCTGCAAGCCGCTCTCCAAAGCGCCATCGCTCACCGAGTCCCCAGCGTCGTTCACCCAGCCCACAGCGCCATCGGTCACCGAGTCCAGGGATGTCAGACTTCAGTTCATCGCCGGTAACCAGCATGACGGAGACCATCAACGAGACGGTGTCGGAAGGGCAGTGGCTACTAAGTCGTAGTGAGGGACAAGCTGCACCCTTCCCATATGAAGAAAGTAAGTTGTCTCCATGAGTGAGTGAAGTGGGTTCAGATTTCCCGTTATATTGCAGAGTCAGCTCATTGTGGGAGGAAAGCAAGAAGTGATGCCGGTCTCAGACATTTACCACTTTGTGCAGCTCTGGTATGATGACGACAAACTTAGATGTATCATGGGGGAAATTGGGATTCGAACCAACCATAGGTATCAGGGCCCCATTCCACAAAGCGATTGTAGCGCTAAGATGATCGTAACCCCCATGCTTTAACATAGACTTACGATTGTCGTAGCGTTACGATCGCTTTGAGGAACGGTGCCCTGGCCTGCCTAAGAGATGCAACACTACGGAGAGAAATTGTCGCAGCTTGGAGGGAATGGGCCTTAAATGACCCAGTTTTGATTATGTCAACATTATGTATAAGAGAATGAGCTGATGTTTCACGCATTTATCAATTCTTGAACTGTGCAGGAGAAGCTTAGGTGAAAAAACATCTGTGTTTTTTTATATATTTGAGGTCTTCTCACTGTATATTTGATGACGTTATATATGGAAACAAGGCTGTAAATATTCATATGCATAAGTGAAAAGGCTTTATTTGATTTTATACATAGTGTGTAGTCTGTCAATACCGGCATCACGCGGGACTAAATAAAAATGCCGGTTTTGACAGAGTGACGGTTTAGGCCGGTTGCAAGTTAGCTTATGACGCCGGCGCGCACACGGGAAGTTCACTGTCGTACTGTCGCTTTAGCATTAACAACATGTTTGAATAAGAAACAAGGCAGTGTCTGAATGCACATTCATGTTTATTCATTCAAATAAAAATGTCTGAAAACACTTATTAAATTTCAGTTGATCATATATTATCGGCAGAATTAAAATTATAAACTATTTTTCGCAATGTTATTGAAAACAACGATTCTTGGACACATGCTTCGGCAGCGGGTACACGATAATATTGTCAAAGAGCAAAGTAACGATGTTTCGAGGAAATCATTAAACAAATTGAATAAACTAATGAATAAAATCAACAATAGCATTCATAAAAGTTGTCAAACGTACATATAAAATTACTATTTCCATCGTTTTTGTTGAGATCATGTAATGTAAGTCAAGTCACTGACAAGTGACATCTCGGCTTTCGGCGCTTCTTCATGCTCGGACAGGATGTTTAATGCGAAAATGTATGCATGAAGCATTTTTGTCACAGGTCATAACCTAGCACGATACGCCCAATAAGTTCCATAATTTACGTATAGGTAGCGATTTCTTGCTTAATATGTTCAGAATAGCATAATGTTACACAAAACTTTCGTCTGAATCTAAAAGTTTTCGTTTTGTGAGGACGGTACTGATATCGGGAAATAGGCGACCATACATATTATTTAAGAAATCTTTTTATAATAATTTTCTTCATAAACATAGGCTTCATCTGTGACCTTAGAGTCTCTGGGAACTCGGTGTCATGGCAGTAAATGCCTCTGGTTGACTGGTGTTGAAAGAGTTAATTACTCTATGTAAGTGACACGTACGACGTATCACTCACTAATTAACAAGAAACTGATTGACACTTCCCGTTTTTGAATAATCTCGGGAGTAACCGCGAATTGTGTTGTTACATCATTTCGACCTAATTGTAATAAAGGGTTGCGCCATCCTTCATGTGCCAGGTTTTACAGATTCGTTTTAATAACAATTTGTTCGTTGGGACTGAAAAACAATGCCGATATCCTGAGTAGACAGATGCCGATGTTTACAGATGTTTATAAATGATAATTAAGTGCATTTCTGCCGGGACTGAAACTTTGTGCCAATGTAGACAGAGTGCCGGTGTTTACAGAGGCCGATATTGACAGAGTCCACTGTATACTTAATTTTAATCAGTCAGCATCAAGCACTCTACAGTGTTAATGCTCAACAGATTATGCAGGGTGGGTGTCCAAGAGGTGCAAGGTTACATTCCTTAGTAGTGCCAGGATCTGGTACCGTTCACAGGTTCACTGATAATGATGCTTGCTTCATCAGTTAGCACTTGACCGTAACTGAGGCTCACTAAATGTACCTCCCACATGAAGTGGACATGCCATGCTGTAAGGTGACTGATAGTGGTGTTAAACCCAACAGGGCGCTGAGGTAGCCTAGTGGTTAAAGCATTGGCTCGTCACGCCGTAAAAGCAGCGTAAAACCAAACTCAGTCAGTCAGTCAGTCAGTCAGTTAAACCCAACTCAATCTTCTATACGCTGCCAATATACTGATACTTCCTGGAATAAACAACATGATAGTGTTTCTTGTGTGAGACACAGGTTGCCAAGTGATCTCAAGTGCCCAACTTCCCAACGGGTGTTGTTTAGGGTGGGCCACTTACTTTGTACAAAATTTGGGTGGGGGTGGGTGGGGTGGTGGTGTTAATTAAGCATTTTTATGTTTCTCCATAAAAATCATCACCACCCCACTAGCCATAAATTATGATTGGTCCCTAAGATGTAACTAAAAGTTTGTTCAAAGTGGCAGTATTTGTTTTTGATCATGAGCAGCAGAGATTAACCAAGGGAGCTAACTCTTGTTACATCAATAGACATGGAATGGGAGCATATAGGCCTTTTAAGGCCCAAGGTCGCCCTAAAACCTTACATACCTACCTACCTAGACATGGAAAACTTGCCGGTGTAGTTTGGCTTTGTGATAGGAATACAATTGTTGTGGCAGCATGATTTTGGCCCCAATTTTGCACATTTTATTTTCATTTACCAGTGACCCGCCCGCGAGGTTCGAGACGTGCCGATGTTAGCACTGCCAGCACACTGCGTGACACAGATGACCTCGACCTGGTAGGTTGAAAACAATGAGACTTTCTACGAATCATGCCATATATATCTTAACTGAGAATACATATCAATAGAATTCTTACTTACAGTAGGACTAATTTGCTATGAAGAATTATGTTTTATCTGTCCTGAATGTAAATAGTTGAAGGATAACTAACCTCAAGCATCCTGAATGGACTGACTTTTCTTTTGTTTGATGACATCAGACAGAATCATTTATTTACTTCTGTTTTTACTTTTGCCCTGTGTAACTAAATGTTAAGTAAATAATTGATGGATGGGGGCCATGGATGGCGGCTGATTTATTGATGGCAGAAGCCTGAGCCGAGTGCATCTTTAAATCCAGAGATCTAGTGGTTTATGTATCATGACAAGATTTTAGGACAGAATTAGTGTTTGTCTAACAGGCATTAGTATCTGCCTCTCTGTGTTGCAGGACGATACTGAGGTGTCTAAGAGTGAGGGTGAGTTCCTGTACCGTTCTGTGGCGGCGCCGGACCGGGACCCTGTCCTGCAGTACGTAATGAGTCTCCAGCAGCAGCCGGCGCTGCCAGCCTACCCTGGATTCAACTACGGTCAGTACGACATGCCTCAAGGTCGTGCACAGAATCTCCTCAACACCACCGGCAAGAGTCTAGGGGAGATAAGTGTAGGCCAGGTGGCGCCACACAGGGTCACCTATATCCGTGCCAGCAATGACATGGAGGAGGAGGAGGAAGTAGAAGATGGCTACAGAGGTGAGTTTCAGATGAGGACAGTGTATATTTCCAAGCTGTGGCACAAGAACCGTTTTGTTGTATTTTCACCATGCAATGAGAGTTTCACAAATGAAAAAAATATCTGAAATATCCTTTTGTGTGCAACAACTTCCTGTAATAAAACTTATCTCAGTTTCCCAGATTCAGTTTACTATTATCCTTAGTCTTTCAGATCCAAACCCTTGCTCTAAAGATTCACTCTATGTAGTAATGTCTATGGTCTGTAGTGGTGGTGTGTCACGCAGTGACTAAAGGACTAAGCAATCGATCATGCTCTCCTACAAACAATTCTGGAACACTTGTTTGCATTAACAATATTTTTCACAAGGTTGGTTTTGTCTGTTACATTTCATGACCACTACAAGCTCGTCCCAAGTCATGATTGAATTTATCTTCAAGACTCCAAGAAATTAATGTTCCTAACCTATTAGTCATCCTTTAAAGATGGTTACCAATGCCTTTTGTGCAATTTGCTAAAACACCAAAGAACTACATGTCCATTAACAAAATAATCAGGAAAATTTCATAAATGACGCTAACCAATTATTTAGGTTGTAATGAATCAATCATCAATTATGAGATTTTGACCAATTCCCAGCACTAATGGTCTGTGTCACTTTCGGCTCTCCTCCATCATGAAAACAACTGCAATGTTTCTGAAATACTGAACTCTTTCTTCTGCTGACCCATGAAGATCCAGGTTAGAATTGGTCTTCAGCAACCCATGCTTGTGTGGTGTTAAACAAACAAACTTTCACCTGCTGGTTCCAGGAGCGGTACAGGCAAGCCCCACTAAGGACGGCAGCCCTGTCAAGGACACCACAATGAGAGTGGAAGACCTGAAAGAGAGCCGTAGTCAACAGAGGACAACATCACCCACATCTCGGTCCCCTCCTCGTAGGACGGACAGTGGTCCCGTGTCTGCCATGCCTCGCAGCAGATCTCCCACACAGAGAGGTAGGTTAACTTGAGTCTTGTGTCAGCCATCGCTGCTTTTCCCAAAGTAGATCTGTTGGCTGTGTTCTTGATTGTTTTAATGTTACATTGTGAGCAGTGTTTACTGTTCCTGGCAAGTGTGTGTGATAGCTGAGATACTACTGTACATGTAATCTACTGTATGATCTGTAAATGCATTCACACTGACTCTTTTCCACACAGCAAAAGCACGGAAGCCACCTCAGGCAACTCGGTTCTCAGACCCACTGGAGATGACGGAGCCTCCCAGGGCCAGTTCAAAGATCATCTCTGTCAGGACAAGCTCCGAGGAGTTCCGGGAGTCTTTGGACATGGATCAGAGTGAGGAATTACAATGTTTATAAACAAAATTCATGTAAAGCTCTCACTGGAGTGACCTTTCATTATTGAATGAATATTGTTGTCCAGCTACATTATCTAAATTTTGAAAAAATAGTTTGTGTTGAATCTTGGTACATAAATACAAATATTTATTGTGACCTTTGGTGGTTGTTCCTTCAAGGTCAGTTGGCTTAAATTATTTTCTTTTTGATAAGGTTTGGGATTATGTCACAGTATGAAATGATTGAGTTTGTAATATACAGACTACTACCAGCTGTGACCTCATCTTTATAAATGCTCTGGATATAAAAAATTACAAAAATCAAATCATGAAGGTTTACTTTTGAAGGATTTTGATATCGAACAAGTTTTACTCATAATCAATTATAAGGGCTTTGGCTTCATTACATCGTGAACTTCCTGTCGTCATCTATGTGTACATGTGTTTCAGTGATGAACGGTACTCAGACCATGAGTGAACAGGGTACACGAACCCTCACCCCTGACCAGATGAACACTGACCACTACATGCAGTCTGGGTACCTCTCACAGACCTTCAGCCAATCTGATGGCGGCATGGGGTCAGGAAGATTGACAGGCACTCTTGGCCAATCGGACGGCATGGGATCGGGCAGACTGACTGGTACATTCAGCCAATCGGGCAGAGAACGGCCCCCGAGCCTGGGGTCAATGCGGGCTTCCAGTGAAGTTACCGGTAGTCGTTCTGGAGGGATAAGTCCAGACCGTCTAAATTCTTCTGGTCGGTCACTTGGCCTCACATACTCGTTTGAGAGTGAGGTTGGGGACTCCATCAGTGAATTTGAACTGCGGCGATTGGCTAGTTCCGGCCCGATCAAAATGTCTGTGAAGATGCCATCTACAGGGCATGCAGACGACAGTGAAGATTTGTCAGAGATTGACATCACAGACAACATGTAGTGACACCATGCAACAGCTGTAGGTCAGTACAGTCAATGTGTAGTGAAATAGCTATAATTTATTTTCGTTCCATATGCTACATATCAGTTCTAGGTCACACCCTGTTCAAGTATGCAACATTTCCACATATTATGAGTTTGACATATGTTGTTATATTTACATGTTAGGCTAAGATTCAGTTACAAATTGTAATGAACTTTTTCCAGGTTTTTTCGTGTAAATCATGATAATGGTGTGGAAGTCCTATCACAATTGTAGTATTTGTAGAATGTTCACTAATATAATTTAGCAGTATAGCCTTTTAATCGATCAGGTCTTTGATACTAGGTGTATAGATCTGCCATTCTGAATAAATAACTATGTATATTTTTCCAACTTTGGTACAAAATATTTCATGTTAAATTCCGTCCGTTTGAATCAATTTTTTATACTCATAATTACAGTGTGCATAATTAGAATGTGAATACTGATGTGTATTGTATAAACACTGGGAGACTCACTGGGACACTGACCTACTCAAGGTCAGTCCGTGCTATCTCACTCCAGCCCATTCTGTGATAAGCTTACATTCCTTGTAATAAACACATGAGATTGAAGTCCGTAGTTCGTGTTTCATCTCACTGGAAACAACATGTTGTTACCAAACATGTTTACTGCAATCTGGGAAAGCAAAGATTCCTGGTGTCTCATGTTTGTTCTGTCTGATTCGATGCTGCTCTGGGCAATATTCAAGCTACATGATGGCCTGTATATAAATGTGTCTTGACCTGACAATCCAGTGATTGATGTAGTGAACAAAACACATCATTGGGGTACTGAAACATGCAATGTAACAACTAAGTCACCGACTCTTGCATCTGAAAAATTCGCTTGTATCTTTGGACACCACAGAATTCCCACAGGGTCATCACATGCCTGTGACAACTAATGACTGGTTGACAGTGAATCAGCTGAGAATGGACAGTGTGGTCTAAACCTGCGTTCATTCCAGTTAATGCTCAAACACAAACCACAAAACTACTAAGTATTGATATCAGCAGCAGTCAGTGTGGTGCGATTGACATGCATTCAGTGAAGCCACCAAGTCTGACAACCCAGTCCACGTAGTCACCTCTAATACAAGCATTGGTTGTTTGGGGAAGAGTTGGTTTGGTCCGTTGGTTTTTTGTTTTACGCCGCACTCAGCAATCTTCCAGCTATATGGCGGCAGTCTGTAAATAATTGAGTCTGGACCACACAATCCAGTGATCAACATCATGAGCATCAATCTACACAATTTACACAGTTGACATGTGTGTCAACCAACTCAGCGATCCTGACCACCCGATCCCGTTAGTCGTCTCTTGCGACTAGCATGGGTTACTAAAGACCAATTCTAACCAGGATCTTCATTGGTGTTTTTTGAAGAGAAGCCCTACAGGGCTCAATCCGGTTCTGATAACAAAGAGTCATATTAGACCATTCTACAGCTGAGAGAAGTTTGAAGAAACAAAGTCAAGTCTAATGAAACATAGCATGTTTAATATGTATATCATATGTACAGAGTCAGCACATAGACAATCTCCCCATGCTGAGGTCTGGGACAAGGCACAGTGAGGCTGTAGGACTGCCCATAGTGGAGAATAGTCATACAGCATATGCTTACAACGGATCACATTCTTTATATACCCACATCATATCTTAAAGGCCGGACCATCAACATCTTGTAAGTCTTGTTGAAAGTCTTACTCTAAACCAACTCCTGAAACTTACCTTAGACCTATGTAATTGATTCATCATTAATATGTATTTTGTATTCAGAATTATGGAGGTCCTTGTGGTCCTGAAATCTAGGAACCCTCCAAATATTTGAATCATATTTTAGGGTTACAACAAGAAATCCTTAACTTCTAGGCTATATTTCAAACATTGTTATAATCTACTGGATCAACATAGTTGCTTGTGACCTCATACATGCTGCTATGGATGTGTGAAAGTTTCGTTCCATCACGGCTACAGCTCGCTATACCCCTACGTTACAGTTTGTGCGACCTAGTCCGACCTTTAAGCATCAGCATGAACCAAAAGAGTATTAGACAAACCCACTGTGAAAAGAAACCTGTCACCAGTAAGTGGGACCAAACAGTGTGTGACTATGATGCCACCCGATGATGTTATTAGCTTAATATCTCACCATATCACAAATATATCACATTATCAAAGGAATTTCTTTCCTCAAAAAACAAATTGCATACAGTTTGATTATCTGTCTTTGTTAAACAGTTCCCAGCCCATTTTGCTCAAACACTCTTCAAATTTATCACATGTGATGCGTAAGTACATATATACACTAGCAAATTTGTTCACGACAATCACATACAATATTGTATGCTTTTGAAACCTCTATCACTGATGATGATGATAACTTAACTTTATCAGAGTGTGTATTTGGTTAATGTCACCTACAACCAGAGACATACTGGAGGGTGTTTTAATCACAGTTCATTGACACAAGACCCCTGCAACCATATATGTTTCCATAGAAGAATACAGCTGATGAAATTGAGGAGGTATGTCATGGGACTACAGCAGGTGACAGGTGTGTCATGATGGTACAGCAGGTGTGGTAGAACTACAGTGGTAGGAAGTGTCATGTCACTACAGCAGGTGTGCTAGAACTAGTGGTAAAAGGTGTCACATCACTACAGCAGGTGTGGTAGGAGGTGTCATGTCACTACAGCAGGTGTGCTAGAACTAGTGGTAGGTGTCACATCACTACAGCAGGTGTGGTAGGAGGTGTCACATCACTACAGCAGGTGTGGTAGAACTACAGTGGTAGGTGTCATGTCACTACAGCAGGTGTGCTAGAACTAGTGGTAGGTGTCACATCACTACAGCAGGTGTGGTAGGAGGTGTCACATCACTACAGCAGGTGTGGTAGAACTACAGTGGTAGGAGGTGTCATGAGGCTACAGCAGGTGTGGTAGAACTACAGTGGTAGGAGGTGTCATGTCACTACAGCAGGTGTTGTGTGCTAGAACTACAGTGGTAGGTGTCACTGCAGGTGTGTCATGTGACTCGAGCTGCAAATGTTTCTTGTGACTACAGTAGCAGGTGATTGAGTGAGTCTAGTTTACACCGTACTCAGCAATATTCCAGCTATATGACGGCAGTCTGTAAATAATTGAGTCTGGATCAGACAATCCAGTGATGAACAGCATGAGCATCGATCTTCGCAACTGGTATACGATGACATGTCAACCAAGTCAGCAAGCCTGACGAACCAATCCGGTTAGTCGCCTCTTACGACAAGCATGGGTTGCTGAAGATCAATTTTAACCCGGATCTTCACGGGTTACAGGTGTGTTGTGTGACTGCAACAGTAGTTTTGTCATTTGACTGCAGGTGTGTCATGTCACTGCAGGTGTATCATGTGACTGCAGGTGTGTCATGTGACTGCGGCAAGTATCACGTGACTATAGTAGCATGGTGTCATGTGACAGATGCAGCATACGTCGAGTTTCTACAGCAGCAGGTGTCATGTGATTGAAGAACTAACAGACCTGACCCTCCAGCCTGGCAACAGCTGCACAGGTAAACAGAAATAGGTAACATTATCCAGACAACTTGCAAGAGATAAACCTAGTAAATACAACTAACACATCAAAACATCTGGCTAAGTAGGTCAGATATATAGACGTCTGTTTGCTGACTCATGACAAAAGTAACCTTTGGTTTATATTTGCTGCATAGTAAGTGGACTTTCTATTTACAATAACATCCAACAAAATACACTGCTTGCGATAACGGAAATGGTTTGTATGAAACTATCAGTTGCTTGTTGATTAAAACTGCAGTCAGCTCTATTCCAGCTATATCGTAGCAGCCTGTAAATATTTAAGTGTAGGCTGGTTAAACCAGTGATTGATATAATGAACAACATACCACTGGGTCATCTTGATATGCAACCTACCACATCACTAAGATTAACCAGCCAATCAGATGGTGTCTTACAACAGGCATGTGTTAATGGGATCTACTGTAGGCTGATGATAAGTCACTGAGCCTTACCAGAGTGGTCTTGTACGAAACAACCTTAGCGCTAAGACTGACGCAAGTCTGTGTTAAGGTGTGTGAGTTACTACTATAACCTTAGTGCTAAGATTGTTTCGTACAACACTTAGAAAATCAATAAGATGGTGTCTGACAACAGGCATGGGTTAGTAGAGATCTGCTATAACTGCAAGCTGATTACGATACGGGCTACAACTTCTACATTATATACAAATGTTGATTAAATTCTCAATCTCCCTCCAATGATATAATTCACTTCATTTTTCAATAATGTTCATGAAAGACCTGTGTGACACTTCAAAAACAAAACATGGATAACTGTTTCTTGTATCTGATTTAAAACTAACTTTGATTCAGTGCAAATCTTGTTACAGATTTCACTCCAGACCTATCATGATACCATCACAATTTTATAATCTAATCTTGTGGACCAACTTCGCCCCAAATAGCTCCTTGTTGTCAGCCATGTCGGTCACTGAACTTTCGTTCAATTTAATGCCGCATCAGCAGACTCGGGACTGCTCATGGGAGACTTGCTAAAGGATGGAATGACGGACTGGCTCTAGGTAAACATTCCCATGACACAAGATTCACATGGGACCAATGCCAATCTGTCAACATTAATATTAGCAAACCAAAATGACCTCTTTGGGGTTAATGGTCAATATGTAATCTCTTAGGCATGAATGATTAATGTAATATGATCATCAAGGATTAAAACTGGTACTGGAAAGTAACTTTGATAGAATGTAATTCTTTTGGGGTCTTATTTCAGAAGGACATCAGTGAAACATTTGTACATGTCTGGCAAAAATGTTAGAAAGTAAACCAGATAAAAAACACATAATTTTGCATTTGAACAAAGTTTAGCATGCTAAAGGTGATAGAAACATTCAAAATGAGTACAAAATCATAATTCTAATGTTCAGCATGCAGAGTGATCTTTGACCTTGAGATGCCCTTGTTATCACAACCAGGCAAATATTGCCAGGTTTACTGATGCTTGTTTACAACATGAATCACTTGTTTACACCACTTGCTTCAACACAAGATAAACAAGGTCATCAAACCCTACCCAATGGAAACAACACAAATTTGAAACTTCAGTGTGTCCACATACCTATATATTCTACTCAAAACAAGTTAAGGACCATCAATTCTTTCACATCACTAAAGTTACCCGTCAGACCATTCTCAGATTAACTATAGTAAAATAGGAAGGAATCAGGTGGTCTTAACTTCCTTTCAGTAACTCATATTAAGATTCTTTTGAGCCCAACAACAATTTATATGTACTTCTGAAAATAAATTAACCCCAATATTTACGTAGGTCCTCTTGAATAGTCAAAAGCAAATGTAAAAATTCACCCCAAGCCAACGAATAAAGATACACTTGCAATGCTTACATCCTTTGTTCAGTAACCTTAGTAACAAGGCAGTTCACAAAGTAATCTCCCTTTAACTCTGCAATATGCTTTATACCATTTTCTATCTTTAATCAGCAAACTCCAATATTATATTTTGTACCATTTTATGCATAATAATGGAAACATACACCCCATCAGGAATATAATGGGTTGCTTGTCAAAATAAACATAAAAATAAGAGGAAACTAAAGAATGATGCTTGATCCCATTTATCCGACCCTGGATTTCCTGGTGTATATACAAACATAATCCATCCAGACATCAGTATCACATGGCCACTCCCTCACATCCACACATGCTGTAGCTAAACTGACATGGGAGATAACTGTTCTCATACAAGTAACATAATTAATGGGCATGTGTTGCACTCAGCACACCTACAGTAGGGTAAACAGCTTTGGTTTCACGGGAATGGTTAACAAACATTCAGCACCGACTCTGCAACTTATGTCAGTACAAACTCCCACAACGACATAACAGATTTCCCCACTCAGTTGTTATTGCTGTAGTTGATGGTATGACTTTGTTGGCTTGTATTTCACTGAGGTTACATGACCAGTAATACGGTAGAGGATATAACCTTTAGCATTATTATTGCATTGAATTCAATGTTAAATGGAAATATCCAACTACCTCTGAAATATGAAGTATCAACAAAAAAAATTCTTTCAAAATAAACAAATTAATCAGTATTTGTACAGTGAATGGCTATCAGTGTGGAATCCTAGATAAATCCCTGTGTGATATAAGAGTACAACTAAAACATAAGGAATATCAACCCATAGATTACAAAGCCCACACACAGCTACCCAATTAATTGCATTCAAAAATTGTTTCTAAAATTTCCTCTTACTTCACAAACATGATAAGTTAACATTTTGTTTTCCATTGGCAAGTATCAAAACATACAAATGAAAATGGACCAAAAAATAAATAAATATTAATCCCATTTGCTGTCAAAATTTCTAAAATTAGGTGACATCTTGGCTAAACATGAGGTAATGAAAAGAGCACATTTATTTTCTCAACTTAATTGTTATTATTCAGCACTCAGAAACAGGAACTCCAGACCAAACTGTATTGAGAGCAACAGCTGACTCTTAGTAATAAGTACATTAACATTATCAGTACTAGCACTTCATGCATTTTCAAAGTTTACAACATGTGTGTGTATGTGCTGATGGTGCAGATCTTATCTACATAGATAACATGCATTTATATTGCTTAAACCTGTCCTATGCAGGGCTCCAGATAAATTTTCAACATCAGGAGTACGTACTCCTTAATTTTTCAATGCAGGAGTACTGGAAAGCCTTAAGAGTACATTTAGAGTACTTAATGGAATTTAATGGAGTATCAGTAATCTTGTGTTTCGTTTCATATATGCACCACAACACTGCTACTCTTGTGTAAACAGGTCAATAAACAATAAAACAATACTTTTTCAGATAAATACGTCTGTAAATGATTCCAAAACCGTACACCATTGCTGTAGTGCGTATCTGCTACGTTTTCTAAATTATTTCCTGCCATATCGTGCACATTTTATATCCGTACATACGCCGATATGGCCCTTATCTGGAGCCCTGCTATGTACATACATGTAAAACATCTCACAAAACAGACAGAACAAAAGACGACATTGGCCATTGAATGATGAGATCAATATAGGAACAGAACTACAGCACGGATACATGACCACGCAAAAACAAATATGAAAGATGGAGGAATCAGTTACAACAGTTTCACCATCAGAAAGACTTCCATCACAGAGAGTCTACAGCTGATAGTTATAAAGTTTAATTTTCACTGAAGACCTTGGACTGTGAAACTTGTTTGTTCCTCACACTTGCCAGCACTTATGATTCTAGTCAAGAGTTATCTCCCTGTTATCAGTGTCCCCCAAACATCTCCTGCGAGGCATAGGTCATATAGAGGAAACCATCTTCATCCTTCTCGTCGCGATAGATCTCTGCCATTGTGGATGACATGCTGGAAATGCTTTTGTTATTTATGATCAGATAAAATGCTTGGTTTGCATTCAACGACATCCTGTTCCTGAAAAAAAAATTTTTTTTAAATATTAAAAGAAAGGATATATACTGCAGCAGCAACAAGACAAGATAAGGCTTGACATGTTGTATGTAAGGAAGTGAACCTTGGTCCTATAACTCCCTAACCTTTAGGGTATTCCATAACAGCTCCGGGGCCATTTGACCCGTGAAGGTCCGGGCTAGAATGAACCTTCAAGAACCCATGCTTGTCGCAAGAGGCGACTAACGGGATCTTCAGGCACGCTGGCTTGGTTGACAAATGTCTTTGTCAATGCTTCCCAATTGCGCAGATCAATGCTCATGCTGTTGATCACTGGATTGTCTGGTTAAGACTCGATTATTTACAGACCGCTGTCAAATAGGTGGAATATTGCTGAGTGCGGCGTAAACCTAAACTCACTCACTCACTCCGGGGCCATTTGGTAGTCTAGTGGTTAAAGTGCTCTCTCATTACACTGAAGACCCATGTTCAATTCCCCATATGGGTACTATGTGTAAAGTCCCTTTTTAGTGTCTTATGCCATGTTATTGATGAAATATTGCTAAAGGTAGAGTAAAACTAAACTCACTCAGCATAACACCTCAAAAGAATCAATCATACCATTACATTTTTACATTGATGAAAGCATACTAGTGAACGAGCTGGGTTTAATGTTGCATTACTCAGCATTGAAAGGATTATGTTATAGGGTGTCAAATAAATGAGGTGTGAAAGAATGAAGTGATGCAGATGTCAGATGTTAACTACTTCGGTAACATCCGGGGCATGACTATGCGCTGACAAATCTAGAAACTTAATTAGAGCAAACCTGCATTCACACCCATGATCAATTTATTCTAGTGAACTCAAGGGACGCAGCACTACACAACAAACAGCTAGGCCTAGGACAACTTTGACATACATGCCCACTCTGGGCATACACGCCATGAACAGCACAAAGAGTGGTGATGTCAGCTAACCTGATGATGGTGACGAACTGTGACATGGTGAGCTCCTGTGGTACAAGGAACTTGGTCTTGTCCAGCACTGGCAGCTGGTTCTCCTTGTGGTACCTCTCCACAATCACCTATAGTAGATACACTTTTGTCAACAATACCAATTGATGACAAGCTGATCATGTTTATGAGCCTGCATCTAAATAAATATCTTTTATGATCAATTACAAGAGTTTGCACTCAATGACCACAAAATGGTGTAGCATATGTGCATGACTAAAATGCTTTTACGCAACATTCACACATATTGTTATCGCCCTGGATGATTTACCATGGTTACAAATTAGCTCTCACAAGTCTCCTGGCATAGTATTAACACTGAGGCAACTCACAGGTATTTTGGTTGGGAACTTCTGTCGGATGCCTTCCACCTCCTCCTTCCTGGTGGCTGCAAAGTAAAATACACATATGTAAAGTGACAAAAAACACTAAAGTGACAAATACAAATACACACTGTGTAAAGTGACAAATACATCACTGTGTAAAGTGACAAATACACCACTGTGTAAAGTGACAAATACATCACTGTGTAAATGACAAATCACTGTGTAAAGTGCCGTCACTGTGTGTAAAGTGACAAATACGTCACCGTGTAAAGTGACAAATAGGTCACCGTGTAAAGTGACAAATAGGTCACCGTGTAAAGTGACAAATAGGTCACCGTGTAAAGTGACAAATACACATCAATATAGGTACTAGGGCTCAGGTTACCTTTATATACATATACATATGACAAAGAATCATCAGGAGTAGAAAGTGTGTATGGCAATAGTGCATAGTACATGTTGTATACAAGCCCACTTCTCAATCTTGAGAAATGACAGAAACAGGTACTTGCCATGTGAAATTTTCCTAAACACTTCGATCACAACACAGCTTCCTTACACCCATTAGTTTCTATAAAATGGACATTTACAAAGTTGACAATTATTTTCACTTAAACATTCATGAACAATGGGTGCCAGCATCAACTCACCACAACACTTAATTAATCAAAAGTATAACATAAACCAGACTTTTCAATTAGCCTTTACTGTAGGCTAAAAGCCACTTCCCACATTACTAAGACTTGTGATCCCAGATAACTTCCAGGTATACATGTCCTTGCTACAGCGCTGAGGCCCATCTTGCACTATCAGTCAGTGAAGCACACAGTGTAGACTTGCATAAGTCTCTAAGGTAATAATTAATAGTTTACATGATAATTTCTAAAAAAATATAAATAGAAGCCTGACATCCTTGTTGTACTGTCAACTTATCTAGACTTGACTCTATAAAGGATGGAATTACCATACATCCATGGGCTTTGCATTCAGTGCAGCCTTGGAGCAAAAACTACACGCTGTGCGGATATACTAAACTTGCACAAGTCTCTCAGGTAATGATTAAGAGTTTAAATGATGCTTTCTGAAAAAAAATACATAAATACCAGACTTGGGTCCTTAGACTTGCCTCTTTAAAGGATAGAATTACTATACATCCACTGGCTTAGCATTGAGTACAGCCTTTGAGCAAGGCTACACACTGTGCTGATACACCATCAACCCACCTTACACAACACCCCTGGCCAGACAAGGGCAGAAAGTGGACTAGACAGTATGTTATGTTCAAATAGAGTCCTGCTACCTGACCTCAGCCTTACCCCACACAACTTGAAACCTAACGACATACCGTATTTGCCTCAGTAAGCCCCAATAAATTGAAACTAGAGTGTATAGCTAGTCTTTGAAATGACCATATATTACAGGAAAAACAGTTCATAATGTATATTAAGAAAATATAATAAGGAGCACACAGACTTTCATCATTTTCAGAAACTATAGTAATCTAGCCTTGCCACATTGTCTCGACTTAAATGGTCTATATTGGGCATATTTGTTTCACGGGCTGTACAACAGACAAGGGGTAATTACTAAAACCATACATGATTTTAATTACTCTCAGTGAGTATGGTTTTACACAACCTTTAGCAATATTCCAGCAATATTACGGCAGGGTACACCCATAATGGGCTTCACTTTTTGTACCCATAAAGGGAACTGAACCTGGGTCTTTGGCATGATGAACGCTTTAACCACAAGGCTACCCCAACGCATCCAATTATTTTCAGAGAATAGGTGGTTGTGGACAGACTTAATTCCAATGGTGATCAAACTAAAACAATTTTTATAATAGTAACTAGGCAACTATATATACCTGTTCTACAGAGCAGTTTTCAGTTAAATGTGTAATACACAAGAAAGTATGCTACATGCCAGCACTTGAAGATTACACACAGATTGGTTAGAATTTGGTGCTTATTGGAGCAGAGAGCTTAATATGGCAATTACGGTAGGTCACATTAGATGCGTCAGGACATAATGTCATCACATTGAGTACAGATAGGCCATTGCTATGCTATAATCTTAGGACCATATAATCAACCTTTTCACCCTGCTTGATATATGATAAATAAGGCGACAGCATCTACAGGCTCTCTAGTAATCCTGTGTTTTGTGGGGCTGTGGCACAGTCGAGTAGTTAAAGCATTTGCTTGTCACGCCGATGACCCAGGTTCGATTCCCCACACGGACACAATGTGTGAAGCCCATTTCTGGTGCCCCCTGTTGTGATATTGCTGGAATATTGCTAAGTGGCGTAAAAAAACATACTCAAGAAGTACCGGTACTTTCTTGTGTATTGTGCACACTTTTTTCTACAGCTGTGTAGAGTGGATTATGCATTATGAACACCATATCGAAGTCTGATGTTTCTATCCTAATGCAGTCATTACCACAAGCACATAACATGGGAAGTACCTTGTCAACAAAAAAAAGAAATGAATATGAAATTTAATTTTACTGCTTGGTGAAAGCATTCATGGTAGATGTGTTTAATCTTTTTATGAATTTTACATTAAAATTTCAATAAATATTCTTTAGATTAACTCAGCAAAATGTGAGTAAGGTTATCAGCAAGCAATAACTTGACATTATTTACAACAACGGATGGTCAGGTTACCACTTGACACCGTGAACAGAACTTTGGTCGCCTCTTACGACAAGCATGGGTTACTGAAGGTTCATTCTAACCCGGACCTTCACGGGTCTTGTATTGTGAGCCTCGTATCACGACGCTATACTGTATTGTTGCATAGTTACACCATAAGTGGCCTCCATATCCATTTGGTCGCCTCATGAAACAAACTTACTGGGGACCTACTCCAACCAAGAACCTCAGTGGGTGTTTGTATTACTGATTTTTAACCATGTAACAGACTTGCTACATGAACAGATTCTGCATTGGGAGCAGATATTTAAAGTCACAAACTGTTATGGGAGTGCGATATGCAATGATATACCACACGATCTATATTTTATTGTCTGTAATCTCCAACATCTGCCACAACTTCCTGACTATATTGTATATCAGTTTGTTGAGGCTGCATCATTTCTCATATTGACTTTTAAAATATATTACTTTCCACACTGCAACTATAGCAAGCCATGCAGTATGCATGATACATGCCACAGGTATTCAATAATACCTACATCTCTGAGTGAACGGTTTACCATCATAATAAACATGTACACAGCTAGCAATGAGTGATCACATACTGGAAAACCAGGAGTTGATTAATGATAAGAACCTTTGTGCCTACTATGTACTATACGACCCTGAGGTAACTCGAAATCCATCTGGGGCAAAAAACTAATGACAAAGTGTCCAGGTCTGATAATGAACAGCTCAGGACAATGCCAAACTGAAACATATGCTTACAGATGAACCCAAATTTTAGAGAAAGCACAAATAATTGCTTTTAATTTTATGATAAACTTTGAAATATTTCTATCATAATTTGCTGTATGTCTTTGTTAACACGACAATACTTTGAACTAGTTGAAATGAAACATCATGAATCCATAGTAAATTTAAATTCCTACAAGTAAAACATTTACTGACCACTTACTAATTTTTGTTTTATTTGTTAAGATCTTTTATTACCTTGGCACAAAATATATGAAAATTATACATGATAGAGGTCAGGGTTTACAATAGTTAATCTGGTTATGTGGAGGTCTTGAGGATAATTAATTGAAAATATATCCATGAAATAAACAGTTGTGTCAATGATAACTTCATGTCATCTTCAGTGTACCTGTATCTATCACACAGCATGCATCAACAGAATGAATACAATCAAACACACAATGACCCATTTTCAACTGATCTTACACAGTCATCCTTCTACCTTAAACTACAAGCTAATCAACATGATCACGATGACACAATCATCCCGTTTCATGTCAAGGGCAATATCATCACTGACAGTGTAATCTTATCGTAACACAAGTCCATGGTCTAACCTGATGTAGTTCAATGTCAGATAAGATGCTTACTGTCTCCGCCCACTTCACACTGACTACACAATGTCATACAGAAGCCATCTAGTGAATATATCACACATTTGTATGGATCACATCTTTGTATGGATCAAAATATATTCATCCAACTTCTAAATGCCTTTCAAAGAGTGAATTACTTTCGTTTTACGCTGCTTTTAGCAATATTCCAGCAATATCACGGCAAGGGACACCAGAAAAGTGCTTCACACAATGTACCCATGTAGGGTATCGAATCCAGGTCTTAGGAGTGACGAGCGAACGCTTTAACCACCAGGCTACCCCACCACCCCTCCTTTCAAAGAAACAAGAGCTACAAATATAGAGTGGGGCCTACTTTACTTCAGTAGTTCGTGAGTTCAGTTTAAACACTAAAGGAAAGTATGTATACCAAGTTGGGTATATTAACACTGCATCGAACTGTATTTCTGTTATCACAACATGTCAGTTTAATGTGGATGGAGAGCCTGAAGTGATGCAAGGCTCTGACCTGTACCATGTCAGAAAATACCATAAGCACAGGCATGGTGCTGACAAACCTAGGACATCATGGATTCAAACCCAAGATTATAGGTGTGTGGCATGGGTTGCAGCTCTGCACAGTGAACTGCTGTTCCATACACCAGTATTGCTAATTATTTGAGACTTTTGACAAGTTTGATAAGGATGTTCAATATTTCATGTATCAACATGATCAAACTACCAGTAACCATCATTCCAGTGCTTTTGCCTACCACTGTTCAAGGCAGCCTTTGTCAATAGACTGGTCTCCTTACCAACCCATGTTAACAACATGTGAAAGTCAAACCACTAGTGGTGTAACGACTGACTGACTGAGTTTGGTTTTACGCCGCTTTTAGCAATATTCCAGCTACATCACGGCGGGGGAACACCAGAAATGGGCTTCACACATTGTACCCATGTGGGGAATCGAACCCGGGTCTTCGGCGTGACAAGCCAAAGCTTTAACCACAGTGGTGTAACGATTCATCAATAGTATCAATGT